TTCAATGTAACGTGCGGCACATCTTAGCCGTCAAATGAAATTTCGCAAAATATACATGGATTGGAAGATAAACTTCAGTACTTCCTGGAAACCGCATGCGCATCAAAAGATTTTGAGAATTACGCGATTTAGACGCAATTTATCTCAAAAATAGTGTGAGCTGGCACATCCATGGTTCTTAATGGACCACATTGAAATCGGTATAGATCGATGTATTTTTTTAGGGTGCACACAGAAATCGGATGCGCGTTAATGGCATATGGAGTTTTCGGAAATTGTTCGCGTTTTACGATTTTTTGGGTACTTCAATGTAACGTGTGGCACATCTTAGCCGTCAAATGAAATTTCGCAAAATATATATGGATTGGAAGATAAGCTTCAGTACTTCCTGGAAACCGCATGCGCATCAAATGATTTTGAGAATTACGCGATTTACACGCAATTTAAAATGTATATTTCATAATATTATTTAATTTTAAGATTTATTCCTATTTATAGAACCCCAAGATTTATCGGAAGGGTCTTGATATAATCCGCAAGGCGTATACTTATACACAAAAAGTGATTATTATATATGTCAATTTTTCGGCGAAATTCGGGTAAAATAGCAGAATAACCCCAACATTTTTTTTCTGAAATTTCTTGTATAAAATTAAAAAAATAAATATGATGACATTATTTTTTCGAACCAAAAACAAATATTTTTCCTCAATATCTTGTTTTGTTGTCGCTGTGATTTAGAAACCGCTACACGGACTTGTGTGATTTTGACATCATTGGGTTCATCATGTAGATATTTTTAAATTAATTTTTAGGTGTGTGTATGTAATTAATATAATAAATAAATTAATATATAATGAAAATATTGATGTAATCTGCTATATTTTTTTATTTTTCTCATATTTCGCGTCCCAGAAATTATGGACTATAGAATAACGTTTTAGAAATAAGTCATAATTATTTCCCGTTCAATTTTCGGTATGTTGAAGTTCTTATTCCCGTTTTCCAACCTGAGTGTGATATGATATACTTCTCAATTATTTGTTGTATTTTCCTTAAAATGTTTTATACAATCTCAATCCAATTAAAAAAAATAAATATTTAGAAAATTTCCTATAATTGACAAATGTAGGCTTAAAGGAATGATACGCTACCGATTTTCGCCAAAAATATCTCAAAATAACAACTACGACGTGGTGCAATTCAAATAGCTCGATACTAAATTCGTGAAAATGCAAATATGTTGCAAAATACTTTTTGCAAAATTTTCGCGGTTTTTGACTTTTTCTCACCTTTTAAACCTTCCCTGGAGCTCCACGAACATTTCAACATTCAACATTGCCGGCCCGGCAAACGTTGTCTTGCATAGCAATATTGTTGATGTATAATTCACATAACGATAGCCCAATATTAAATTATCTTTAAGATAGTGCTCTGAAATTTGCACATACATTGAAATTGCGCAGAAAGTGTCCGTACCAAATATTATCAATATTGGCCCATGTTTCGGTGTACCGCCCATATAATGGTAGCCCTAAACATTCGGTTTTTTGAAGATCTTAAGCGCGGGTTTCAACAGAATTACTTTTAGTTTAATATAGGGGATACTTATCACTACATAAAATTATCAGTATTGGCCCAAGTATCCAGATAACCCTATAATATTCGGTATTTGGCTGTAATTTTACATTTTGTATAATCATTGAGTAGAAAATATTCCTAACAAAATTTACCCAAGCTTCCGAAATCCATATAATGGAACTCCACATTATGGAATGCTTTGGGGATTTGGGCACGTTTTTCAACCTTAATTAGTTGTTTTATTTGGTGAGTCCAAAATCTCCTTACAAAGAATTATCAATATTGGTCAAAGTTTGTGGGTTGCACCCATATAATGGTATCCCCCCTAATTTCTCATATTGTGTAGAATCTTCCTACCAATAATTAAAATGTCTCCATTCCCATTGTTGTAGTTAAAATAGTTCATTCCGGGATATTGGGGGGATATATATTTTTGCGACTAAGTATCTACTTAGGTCCGAGTTTTGATATAGCATCTATATAATTCGGCATAACGAATTCCTGTGAATAAAAAACATCATTCCAGAAATTTTGCACTACAGCTTAACGTTAAAAACGCCATAATTATTTTCAGTTCAATTTTCGGTATGTTGAATTTCTTACTCCCGTTTTCCAACTTGAGTGTTATCGGTAGTTAGCATGTTCAATACGAATGGGTAACATCGGACGGAGGTTTTCGTATAACCTTCAAGTCGCTTCGTCATCGCTAATTTTTATAAAATTGAAATTTTTGCACAATAAAACTGAAGTGAAATCTGAAGTTAATATAATAAAATTCTTGTATCATTTTTTGTTTTCTAGGAAGTTGGAGAAATACACCAAGCCAAATTAGAAATCGATCAACTACGAACCATCCAAGAATGTTCTGTGGATTCTGTGCAAATTTCCCTTCAACTCTTCGCTCGGAAAGCGGTTATAGTAGTGATATTGATTCAGAAGCCGCAGTGGTGGCGGTAATCGTAGTGGAAATCAACGTTACAACAAGGTCGTCGTGGTGGTGGTGCAACAGCAGTAACAAAATCAACAGCCAAAAGCAAGACTTAATAAAAATTTCCAGCAACCACTATTTTCCAATATGTTAATGAGGATTTTTTCATGAGAAAACAAAATATAATTAGAAATGGAGAAGAATTTTAAAAAAAGTACAAACAAAACAAAAATAAGAAGAAAATAAAAAAAAGCATTATATAATACAAATGCAGAATATAATTTTATGAATTTTTGAAATAAAACCAACAAAAACATCTTTGGTGCATATTATAAAATAACAAAGAAAACGAAAAAAAAAACTATATAATAATAATAAATACAAGCGGCCAAACGCTGACAATAATGCATGCATCAGCTGTTATCAGTGTTGCCAAAACTTTGTTGAGGAAAAATGCTCGATTTTGTTGAAAAAAATGCTAGAAAGTGCTAAAAATTTAAAAAAGTGCCAGAAATAAAGTGCTTAAAAATTCTAGAACAAAATTGTTAATATTTAAGTAGTGTTGGCGGTTTATTTGGGATACCATTTGTATTTTCTTTTTGCAAAATAGTCAGGCTGAATCCCAGTTTGTTGTTTTTATAAAAAACAACTATTTATTAGTGGGGAATGTATGGCATTGTTTGCCGAGGGGTAAGGCAGGGAAGACTATAGTTTTGGATCACGCCACTGATCCTCATCAGTTCCCTTAGTTTTTTGTTGGGATATTCTCCCCAGAAGCTATTGCTTCTATACAAAAAAAAAACCTTTCATACCCAAATGTCTCTTGTAACAAAGCTAAGTACTTAGCTGACCAACGACATAAACTGCATGAGAATTTCGCTGGAGCCTCACTTCGAGGTTAACAAGGCATTTACAAACAATACCACGCCTTTCCCACTGTTGTGTGTTGTCACATCGCGACAAATGCTCACAACGACTTTGTTAGTGTTGCTAGTATACAGCAACAAACCAAACAGTTTTTTTTTTTTTTTGTAAAAACAACAAACTGGGATTCAAACTGGAATATATCGGGTACTCCATCGCCCAATGTTTGTTTTTTAAGCTTTTAGCACATTTTTCAACCTAAATTAGTGTATATTTGTATATTGTGTTCTATTTGGATATATAGTCTTTTTACTAGAACTTATCAATATTGGTCCACTTTTAAGGGTAGCCCTCATCAATTACATTGGTTTTAATTCGATTGTTTAAATTTTGTTGAGTAAAAAATCTCCTTATCAAAAATTATTAATATGGGTCCATATTTAGGGGAAGCCCCCCAGAGAGCGGTACCCTCCCCATTATTCGACATTTTGGGGACGTCGGACGGACACGCAATCGAATTGACTAATTGTTTTTCTATTTTTTGTTTTGATGGGGTTTGAAATCTTCCTACTAAAATATAAATACTAATAATGTCCAAATTTGGTTAAGGTAAATAACTGTAATTTCACATTTCGTACAAATATGAAGACAATTATCAATTTTCGTCCCATTTGCGTACTTTTAAGGGTTTATCATCTCATTCCCAACAGCGACTTTTATATAAAAAATATGTTTGCCAGAATTTTTCTATTTTGGTCCTTATTCTGGCACAATCCCAATATAAAGGGGTACGCTCGCCTTTTCGGTAATCTAAAGTGGTTATAACTTGACATTCGGGATTCCCGCTGATTAGAGGACTTATTTTCAGAAAGTTCCAACATAATTCATGTTCATTATTTTTACGTCGCTCTCATAAAATGTTAATTTTCCCAAATAAACAATGTACCAACAGACAATGTCATAGTCACCACATGAAGTACCCGACCATTTTTTAAGAAATTTGGAATGTACGGCACATGCTGTTGTGGTCAGATTGTGACAAAGAAATATTGGAAAATCAAATTCATCGCGTGAAACATGAAATCGAAAAACGGGATTTTGTGGATTGAAACCAAAATTTTGTAAAAAAAAATGCCTAAGAACTTAAAAATGCTAAAAAAGTGCTAGGTGCTAGATCAATTTTTTTGGTGCTAAACGAGTTCAAAAAGTACTAAATCTGGCACCATAAGTGCTAAATTGGCAACACTGGCTGTCATTTTCCTTTGTGTGCTCTTACAATAATATTGTAAGGGCAAATAAATGTTTGCCCAAAAATAAGGCAAATGTTTGCTAATCGTTCACGTTGTGGGCAAATCACGCACAATTTTATTTGCTGTCAAATAATTTTGTTTGCCCAAAATCAGTTGTTTTTGTGTTTGCATTGAATATATGTTGTGGTCAGATTGTGACAAAGAAATATTTGACACATTTCGTCAGATATTTGCCTAGTGTGACCTTACCTTTAGTTAAAAACTCTTTATAATATGTAAAAGTCACAACCATAATGCAATTTGTTCATCAATTGGGATTTTTTTTTTTCAATTATAATATGCAGAACTGATTTTAATATATAATGAAGGAAACTTACCTTTTATATGTAAAACTAAGAGCTTCCATTCCTGAAGTTGAAAATTTTTCCGGATATAGGTATCCATAAGGAGTAAGGTCATATATGGAAATGGATCCTAAGCGCCCATCAACAGATTGGAGAGAAATATCACGATTTACATGAAGTTGTACGTTAGATACACAAGCTTTTGCTAGTTCTGACTCATTTCTAACCAATATCAAGTTTAATGATCGAATAGTTATCAATAATTCCTTTGACGATGAAGATTTATCTGCAGGAGAACGATAGAATTGATAAAATTATTTTTATTTGTAACAAATATTGCATAAATATTACAATTTGTTTTTTTTTTTTGTAAACTCATTGAATTCATTGATCATGTCCTTATTCCTTAAAATCAGTTAGTAAAGGCACAATGTGGGTAAGAGGTTCTGATGGGATGAAAATTATAATGCATAGTTTAAATATATATGAATTATGTATGTCTGGAACGATTTGAAACGAAATTAACACATTTGAGATTATATGCATACAATCGATATCTAAACGAATTGTGATATCTGAATGTGTAAGTGTATTTTTAAGAAGTATGTCCGACAATCAACAAATATATAAAGAAAATTCCAATGAATTTACAAAAAACTTTAATTTATAAATTAAATTATGCAACTTTATTCATTGCATTGCCGAAACTCTTTTTTTATGAACTATGTATTTTTTTATATATATAGAGATGCAAACTAAAACATTAGTTATATCCTTATTCCTTAATATATCAGTTAGTAAAGGAACAATGTGGGTATATAAAAGAGGTTCTGATCGTATTTAAATTATAAACCATATTTTAAATCTGTACTCAAAATTATCCAGACTGCTTTTCGCCTTTTATTATTTATAATTTACATAAATCCAAGGAAATTATATTTAACAACCCTACTTAAATTATCAACGAAAAATTTAAAGAACATATTGCAACAATCTACGTGCAGTTGTAATATTTAGGTAAATACTAAAGTTAGCAGAACATAACATTTTTTCCGGACCTAAATTTAGTATTGGCCTCAAGTGTACATACCCTAGTATTTTTAACAAATATAGATCAAGTTCAAACATGGAATTTGTTATAATTGAGTGAGTCGTATCCGTTTGATCTGCTAAACTTAATATCTCAAGCAATGAATACATATACATTTTGTTTTCAGCTCAGCTACGATGAAAAACCACCACAGATTTCACAAAAAAAAATTTACTGACGTATTTTTATTGAATTTATAGTCGATTTCTCCAATGGTGGAAGCATTTTTCAAAAATTGAAATGACAAAATTTAGAAATGAAAATCATTTTTTATTTTACACTATTTTTGTTCAATATATGCAAGATAATTAAGAGAATACGCACTAAGTTCATCATGACAGCGGCAAAAATAGAATGAGTTGTAGGTGGATAGAATTTTCTACAAGTGTTATTATTAAACAAGATAGATTGGATCAAGATTTTTTTATTTGTTCTTTATTTTGTGTTGAAAAGCCATTCGGCCAAAATCTAATACAATATGCTCCAATGACAAATTATATGCAAATAAATTAAATTTAATTGAACTAAATTAAACGTATGAAAAAAAATATAGCTAAACATATTATAAAAATATTTACATTTTACGTACTCCTCAGGAAAGAACTACTCAGAAAATACCTCCTTTAAGAGGCTGTTAAAATCTAATTTAAAATTAATATGAATATGTACTTTTTATGAACTTCTTCGGAGAGAACTACTCAAAAAACACCAAATTTAAGAGACTGTAGAAGTCTAAAATAAAAATAAATTGTAACATATGCCGGTTTTATTAAATATATGATTACCGTAGCGACTACTCAAAAGATTTGGTTTACTTCCCATACAATGGGTTTTATTTTTTGGCCTACAACATCATTAATATTCAACCAGATTCGATTAAAATTGGCAGTATAGTTTCAGAAGTCCTCCCATACAAATAGACTTTTGACCTCCTTTACTGAAAAGTAACTTCATATATTGTAAAATCATTATATTCAATTAAACCCACTATATGTGTACATATATTTTATAATTACAAATATAACAATTTTACATATTGTTTTAAAAGGAAAATAAAACGTATTCACAGAATAGTTTTGGGCACAGGCAATAAAAATATTTCCATTATTGTTATCTGAAAAAAATGTTGCAATAATTAAAATATAGAAAAAGGAATATTTTATTATGATTTCATTGCTTACACTTTTTTTAAGATCAGATTCTAATTGATGGTATTGCTGTCCAAGGATGGTATCCAGTTTTTTGGAATTATGTTAAGGATTAATAATTTCACAATTAGTTTTTTCTTTATTCACTTCATTTACACGACGTTTTTTCTTTTGGTTAATAATTTTCCACAGACTTTAACAAAATTACGCCTTTAACAAAATTACGACACAGACAAAACTGACAAATTTACACACTGACATGAGAGCGCCGACAGATAACGGGACTTCAGAAATAAAAATCAAGAAAATAGTAAAATACAAATTTTTTGTCAATTAAAATTACCCTCTCGTAACCTTTGGGAAATATTATATAATGTATCATCTCAATCAATTATATTATTTTCTGGATTCTTCCGGATACATTATATAATGTAATGATTATAATGCATTACTAAATCGATTCTCAATATAATACGTTCTCAATTTTCCCACTGGGTATTTGTTGTCGTTACTCAGCCGCCTGCCTTAAGTGGGCCGCAGACGATCATGCATGCATGACATGCATTTTGTGGCGTTAGTGAAAATGTGTATGTATGTGTTACACCTACGAAGAAGAAGTAGGGGAAATTGGGGCACATTCGGCAATTATAAGACCAAAGTGCTTGTATTGACGAAAATGCGATAGAAAAACACTATTTCTGATAGTGTGTGTGACCTTGAGATGTCAAAAGCCGAAGCTACCCCGGGTAGGGGCACATTCGGCGAATTTGACTTTTGTTACAAAACTGTAAACATTTTTAACTAATACTAATTTATTCGCCCATGTGACATGTACCGAGAGTTTTTGAATTCCCATACTTTTTTAAATTCCCATGTTGTTCAAAATGGTGTGCTCAATTTCGAGCGAAAGTGCGACTCGAAAGCATAGCTGTGTTCAATATGTTACGAAATGTGTTCAATAAAAAACATACAGTGAGAGTCAAAAGAAAGTGTACACGAATGATTATTATGTTCCCTGTTTCATATAAACCCTATCATGTAATATTTTATACAACAAATTATGTTTATTGAAAATGGTATTTACCCCTCTCTAATTTTCTAAAAGAAAAATTAACAAAATTTTACAAATAGAAAAATTGCATAGCGAAAACAAAAAATAGTCCATATGTGACGCGTCAAAAGAAAGTGTACAACATGTTATTCCAATACTTGAGAGATTGGACACAGTTAGATTTTACCGTTATTTTTTCTTTTTTCCTTTCTGCTTGTTTTTCTTTTATTGGTTCTAATACTGTCAATGATTTAGTAGTGAATTGGTCAGCAACAATTGAAGTTTGAAGACATTCTAAAAAATTTTCCATAATGGGTAAACAAACTTCACTCGATACACGTGAGCTTATCATAAAATTTCACAATGAGGGAAAAACACTGCGTGAAATTGGTTTAACTATCGGCAGGTGCCACAATACGGTGAAAAAAATAATTGATAAGTACAAAAAGTTCCACAAATTGGAAAATCGTCCTAAATGTGGCAGGCCAAAAAAACTGAATGAGGTTCAAATACGATCGATTGTACGAAATGTAAAGAAAAACCCTGTAGAAAGTGCCGTTAAAATATCCAAAGAAATTTCAGAATCGTCTGGAACTACTGTTAGTGCCAGTACAATACGTAGAGCACTACACGCTAACGGGATTCATGGAAGGGTTCCAAGAAGAAAACCCTTAATATCCAAAACCAACCAAAAACGTCGACTCGATTTTGCTAATAAATATAAAAATAAAGATATTTCTTTCTGGAATAATATAATATTTAGCGACGAAAGCAAATTTGAAATGTTTGGCAAAAGGAAACCTGCTAAAATTTGGAGGACCAAAAACAGTGAATTTGCGGAACAGAATTTAGTATCCACTGTAAAGCACGGCGGAGGTTCAGTGATGGTCTGGGGATGCATGGCAGCTGGTGGAGTTGGTAACTTGGTTTTCATAGAAACCACAATGAATAAAATGGAATACCTTAACATTTTAAAGGAAAATTTGAAGCCTAGTGTTGAAAAGTTGCGCTTGGATCGAGGTTGGATCTTTCAACAAGACAATGATCCAAAGCATACTTCAAAAATAGTTAAGGAATGGCTGCTTTATCACACTCCTAAGCAATTGGATCACCCTCCCCAATCTCCGGACCTCAACCCAATCGAACATTTGTGGGAACATCTCGATCGCGAAATAAGAAAGAAAGAAATTCGTAGCAAGGACTCGCTCAAATCGGCTATATTGGAGGAATGGCAAAAAATTTCACGCGAAGTAACCGAAAATTTAGTCAATTCGATGCCGAGAAGATTACAGGCTGTAATTCAAGCAAATGGGAAGCAAACAAAATACTAATATATATATTAATATATGAATTTATATATTAAGTTTGCATTGTACACTTTCTTTTGACGCGTCACATATGGACTATTTTTTGTTTTTGCTATGCAATTTTTCTATTTGTGGGATTTTGTTAACTTTTCTTTTAGAAAATAAGAGAGGGGTAAATACCATTTTCAAAAAACATAATTTGTTGTATACAATATTACTTGATATGGTTTATATAATACATGGAACATAATAAACATTCGTGTACACTTTCTTTTGACTCTCACTGTATGTTTCATTGGAATTTGCAATTTGTTTACAAACAAAATTAAGAAAAAAATATGCCTGCTGGCTTATTAATTGCCCTGGTTTCTACCAGAAAAAGTCTAATGATACTGGAACGTGTTAAAATTTTTGGATATTTTGAGAGAAGTGGGTCCTTTCATACACAAGGGTGCCATTCCCGAAAGCCTCCAGTTAGCAGGTACCTTTCTAGCTGTTGGTGGGTTTCAGATGGTAGTGGCAAATGATTTAAATATAAGTGTTGATCGCACAACAATGTGTAAAATATTGTGGAGAGTAATGAAAGTCCTGAAAGACAAAGTGTTTGCAAGCTGTGGACAGCTGCAGACCAAGATACAGCCATGATGCTTTTATTTGGCATATGTGCAGCTAGGCAGCATTAACAAAAGA